CTGACGTCGGCTCGGTCGCGCGCATGACCATGGACATGGTCGTCGTCTTGCCCGCGCCGTTGGCGCCGAGCAGGCCGAAGACCTCGCCGACGCGCACGCCAAAGGTCACGTTCTGCACGGCCTCGACGGCGACGGCGCCCGGGCGCTTCGGCGCGTAGATCTTCCGCAGCTCGATGACGTCCAGACCCGCGGCCGCGGACGCCTCCTTGAGCTCCGGCGGGTAGGCGTCCTCCGGGGGCCGGTTGCGCACCATGGCGCGCACCTCCTTGAGGTCCCTGAGGACCTGTCGGGCCAGGTCCTTGAGCGCGGGCCCGCAGCCCGCCGCGGCCGCCGGCTTCGCGTCGTCGTCGTCCGCGGGCGCGGCGTCCGCGAGGCGGCCCAGGACCCGGTTCCGCTCCTTGGCGACCTCCTCGTCGAGGCGGAGCTTGCGCTTCTTCGAGAACTTGGAGCGCGCGTAGGCCAGGGGCCGCGTGGCCATGCGGTCCTTGAGGTACGCCGCGGCCTCGAACGCGACGATCTGCGCCAGCAAGACGACCATCGTCGCCCAGAACGCGGGCCAGAGCGGCGCGTTCTTCGTATCCAGGATCTTCTGGGCCCGCGGGAGCATGCCCAGCGCCATGAAGAAGGGCCGCAGGCCCGTCCGCAGGAACGCCATGCAGAGCGCGCCGACGGGCGACGCGACCGTGCACCACCACGCGTACACGGACACGAGCTCCCCGAAGTTCCAGGTGAACATCTGCATGGACGACGTCCCCGACATGACGCCGCCGAAGACGAGCCAGAGGACGATGGCGCCGAAGAGGGGCAGCACGATGCACGCGAGGCACAGGATCGGGAAGCCCCCGAGGCACATCGTCGGCGTGTCGAACGCGTAGGACCCGACGTGCGCGAAGGTCGACAGCGCGATGCCGAAGATGGGCAGCAGCACCCAGAGCCAGGCCGTGCGCGTCATCCAGCCTCTCTGTTTCGTTTTAATATTCCAGCAGTCCTGCTCGTCCGTCATGACGTCGCAGTAGTAGTCCCAGACGGCCTCGTAGTCGTCCTGGTGGCTGTAGATGTAGGCCGCGTCGGGCGACGTCGAGTTCGTGATCATGTCCATGATGATGAAGTAGTCCTCGAGGGTCGGCATCCGGTACTCGGCCTTCCACATGCGGTAGCGCATGTCGAAGCCCGCCAGACCGCCGTAGACGCAGGCGATGACGAGGAGCTGGAGCGCCGCGTCCGCGAGGAGCGTGCCGAGCCAGTAGGCGCGGTAGTCGAGGCCCGAGATCGTCAGCAGGTTCCGCACGCGGTTCGCGCGCTCGCTCACCAAGGGCTCCGCGGCGAGGCCCGGCACGAAGATGAACGACACGCCGACGACGGCGGCGACGATCAAATTCGGGATCGTGCTGTAGCGCGGCTGCTTGCCCGTCGCGAGCTCGCCGCCGGCGCAGAGCCCCGCGAGCATGATCGAGACGATCGCCGGCAGGAGCACGAGCGCCGTGCACCGCGCGCCGCCAAGGTGGGGCCCTAAAAATTGGTTCACGGGCCGCGGCCGCCGGTCGCCGCCGAAGACCCGCTCGCGGAACGCGCAGACCATGGCCTCGAGGCCGCGCAGGGGCGCGAGCAGGATGACGACGTCGTTCCGCGCGTGCTCGAGGCGCATGCGCGCGATGGCCAGGCTCTGGTCCCAGACCCGGCTCGACGTCCGCGGGCCGCCCGTCGACGCCGCGCCGCCCGCGGCCGAGGGCAGGGACACGTAGATGGACTCGTCGGGCGCGCCGGCCGCGAGCACGTTGTGCACCGTGTCGTCCTCGCCGACGACCATGAAGACCGTCTCGAGCGTCGTCGGCTCGAGGGCCGTCGACGTGATGGCGAGGCCGTCCATGTTGCCGTCGATGGCGTCGAAGAGGGCCGCGAGCCGGTGCTCCTCGCTCGCCGGGAGCGCGTAGGTCCGCTCCGTGACCGCGTCCGCGTCGCCGCCGTCGAGGAGCGGGTTGTCGACGTCCGGCGCGGCGACGAGCGACTCCTCCTGGAGCGTCGCGCCCGCGACGATGTCGGAGACGAAGCCGCCGAAGTCGGCCGTCGCGGCCCGCTCCTTGAGCGTCGCCGAGAGCAGGTAGCCCTTGCCGAAGGTCCGCTTGAGGAACGGCACCGTGCCGCACGTGCGGATCTTGCCCGACGACATGATGGCGACGCGGTCGCCCAAAGCCTCCGCCTCGTCCATGTGGTGCGTCGTCAGCAGCAGCGACCGCCCGACGCGCACGGACCGCAGGAGCGTCCAGAGCTCGCGCCGCGCGACGGGGTCCATGCCCGCCGTCGGCTCGTCGAGGATGATGAAGCGCGACCCGCCGGCGAGGGCGATGGACGTCGACAGCTTGCGCTTCTGGCCGCCGCTGAGCTCCGCGCCGAGGTGCGCCGCGCGCTGGCCGAGGT